TGTGCATTGGTTACATAACATCCATGTTAACCCAAGAACAGAAAAATCAGAAGACTATTTGGCTTTGCAAAGTGGGTCTTTGTAATGTTTGAAGTTAACAATTCACTGTCTACATTTTGTAAATGCATTGCGTTACATTATTGTCTATTGAGCAGCAGGACGTGTGACACTTTTAAGTTGTCCACAATACTAAAATTACCAAATATTGTTATTGGCAAAGATATAAAATCTAGTTGATTACATCTGAACTAATTCCAGATGGTCAAGACGGTGCAGAGATAATGAATATGTAGCGTCTGGACCAATCAAAAACACAATTTTTCATTTGATTTAACAAATCAGTTATTCATTAGATTAACAAATCGTCACAGTCCCCTCACCCAATAAACTGGGTGCCAGGATGTCTGCAACGACACCAGGCCCCCTGGTCCCCATGGCAACTAATGCTGATATCACTGGTTTTATGACCCACAGGAATGTAAGTAAGGAAAATCACTGTGACCCCATAGACCCCAACGAGCTGGCCAGAGACAATACATCTGGCAACCTAAATACTGCAGAGACCCTGAGGACATCAAAGGAACTGATCCTGCAGCCTCACCGGCAGCTTAAACAAGCCATCATAAAGGAATTCTCAATGATTAATTATTCATATTTCCCCATGAGCTGATTCGCTACAAATATTTGTAAGGTTAAAAGAACACTTACACAATTTGTAAATCTAAATTCTAATTCTAATCTACACTGTTCATCTTTTGTGGACAATGGGGAATGTAAGGTTGAGCAGTAACTATTGTCGCAGGGTGAATGAGAACACAGACTCGGTACTTATAGAAAGTGCCCCGGAGGGTGATTTATTGCCCACACACTGATCACACGTGCTCGGAGGAATGGTCCTCGGTGCCCGTCTCAACTCGGTGCTCGTGGGGTGAAGTGCCGTGGTGCAGATCCCTCTCCTGGGATGCCGTCGGAGTCTGTGGATAAGGAGAAACAAGCATTAATGTCGCCTGGAGCTCTGTTGCAACTCCCCTCTGGTGTCTCTTCTCCTGGCTTTTATGGACAGCGGGAACGAGCTCCAGGTGCGCCACTCATCACGCACAGGTGTTGTGCTTCTGTGATCAGTGTGGCAGCGGCGTTTCCAGGGCGACGCTGATCTGGACCCGGGATACTCGCACGATACCCTCAAATGTATGGAGGTAAGCCTCGATGTCGTCGTGCTCGGTTAACCTGACGAGGTACTGGTGAGCCTTGACGGGCGCTTCCGGGAGGGGCATGCGCCCCGCCACGCTGGCCTGCAGTTGTTCCACGATCCGGTCAGTATACTCCTGTCGGGCGGCCAGTCGTTTGGTAAACTGCTGCTGGTGGGCCGAGAGCTCAGTCAGGCGGCGGATGACCTCTTCCATTTGTCCCTGGGGAAGAGAGCAGTTCTCATAGAAGAAGCACAGAGATCGTTACAGCAACCTTACAAACCGGGGTGCCGTCGGAGTCTGTGGATAAGGAGAAACAAGCATTAATGTTGCCTGGAGCTCCGTTGCAACTCCGCTCTGGTGTCTCTTCTCCTGGCTTTTATGGCCAACGGGAACGAGCTCCAGGTGCGCCACTCATCACGCACAAGTGTTGTGATTCTGTGATCAGTGTGGCAGCAGCGTTTCCAGGGCGATGCTGATCTGGAACCGGGATACTCGCCACACTATAGACTTAACATCTGAGACTCAGTTCATTTAGTTGCTCTAAAAGGTAAATTGGCAAACAGCAAAACAGCTAACATCTACACAGACTTCCGTTATGCCCTTGGTGCTGTGCATGACTTGGAAGCAGATTGGCAGCAGAGTGGTTTTCCCACAAACACAGGTGAGACTGAAGGAAGAACCCTTGCTGACCAGGTAGCTGTGGTTGCTGCCACATTCCACATTGCAATTTTTTTCTGGCCCAGCTCCGGTCCACACAACCCCTTTTCCCTTGGCCCAATACCACAAAGAATGACAGCCCTAAAGTAGCCCAGATCTGGATTAAAGATAAGGGCCACACATGGACCATAACTGACCCGAGTCTCAGTCCCGGAGGGACTATTGACCAGCCCGAATAGCATAACCCCGAACTCGTAGTGCCCAGACGCAGTGGAGAAGGCCATTTTCCATTCATCCCCCTCTCGAGTACGGATCAGAATCGGATTAAATTATCAATTCGGATGGCGAGCTCGATGAACTGATCCAGAGTTTTACCCTCATTGCGACAGGCGAGTTCAGCTTGTAGCTCCAGATTCAAGCCTTTGCGAAATAGCAGCTTCTCCCCTGTCGAAGTATTAGAATCTGATCGCCTGTGCTGCGACCTCCCTCAGAATGTTTGAATACTTCTCGGAAGCATTGTAAAAAAACTACTGAATGAGGGGAATGTGGGCCGATCATTGTCCCAGATGGCGGTTGCCCAGTCGAGAGCCTTGCCAGTCAAAAGAGAGCATACAAATGAAATTCGTCTTTCATCTGTGGGATATAACATGGGCTGCAGAGAGACAAACAAGGAGCACTGGAGTAAAAATTCCTTACACTTGGCGTGGGATTGGTGATTGAGCTCGCTGAAGGAGAGCTTGTTTCTGGTGCAGGCAGATGCAAGGCTTGCAGTGTCTTTACCAGCTCCTCAGTCAGAGATGTGAGTCGAGTTAACTGTTGTTGGTGGGCAGCTAGCACATTAGCCTGTGCGGAGACCTCAGTCGAGAGTCGGAAAATAGCTGCTGGATAGGTATCAGGCGAAGTCTTCTGTAATGAGGAGTCAACGGAGTGAGGATCGATGTGCAACTTTATTCATAAAAGATCATCAAAAAGACAGGCAGGGTTAAATCACCAGTAGACAGGGTTATCAGAGGCGAGGCAAAAGCAGAGTCAGAGTACAGGCAGAGGATCAGGGCAGGCAGCAAACACTACATACAAGAGTCCAAACAACAGAGCAAGGAGATCAAGGCAGCAGCAAGAATTCATGAATCAAGGAACAGTCCAGGGTCAAACACAGTAATCCAACAGAGTAATACAAGATAACTCTCAGAAATGTCAGCCAGGGTAAAACAAGACTTCACAATGAGCATGGGGAATGGAGGAGCTTAAATAGTCCCGGGAATGAGCAACAGGGGTGCTCGTAATCAGCACCAGGTACGGGGTTATCGGAAATGGAGTCCGTGGGAAAGCTAGTATTCCGGTGAAGGTGCTGATCAGGGGGAACCACAGAGGCCTGATTCGTGACAGCTGTATAGTGACGACAGACAAGAGCTTAAAAATGGACACTCATATCAAGCTTGATGAGGATAAAGTCAGAGCTTTCAAAGGTACACCGTGGACAGTCAAATAAATTCTAATGCATATCTTGGCAAATTATAATACATATAATATTCAACAACATCCTTCAAAACCACTGATTAATTGTTTTCTCCTCTCACAGCCCCTGTGATGAAGCAGTTTTCAAATAACACAGTGTCTGAACTATAAGCCCTCAGTTGCAGAAAACGCAATAAGTCATACTCAAAGAAAGGTGAAGGTGAAGATGGTGACATTTTAATTTTCTGTTTCCTTGTTTGGTTCAGCCATTTGCAGGCTTAACCTGAGTTATTAAAAAATGTTTTGTGTGTGTGTCTGCAAATTGCATTGTGATGCATTTTTATTCAATTATGGAATATTCATTGTGTACTTTACAGTAATACAGGCATAACTGAAATGTTCTACAAATTGATTAAAGTAGTTCTTTCAAAGCATTTCACTGATCTTTATCTTATTATAATTATTTTGCATAAGAGTTTGTCCTGCTGTATTTTTTTAAATGTACTCAGGGAATTTATTGTTGTAATCTACACAACAAGATATAGTACATAAAAGTTTTCTAGATTTGAAAGTATGTTCATGTGTGTCATTTTTATTTAATGATTTTTGCACTTTTAAGTATACCATTTTGGATACTGAAATACAGCTTTATAATACACTAATAGTGGCTTTTGTAGTGTACTGGTAATGCATTTCTAATGAGCTGGTATGCTATTGAAAATGTTCTTGAAGCACATTAAAGTGAAGCTTAAAATATATTCTATCTACAGTTATATATAATATAAAATATAATATATAATAATATAAAAGTGGATTTTAAATTAAATGTAAAGAACTGCAATTAAATTACACTGAAGGTACTTAAAGTGGTTTAATTTTAACACAACTAAATATATTAAAATATAATGCAATTAGCTTAAAATTTATCTTAATCATATCTTAAATAACACTTAGCATACATTTTCTCAAATTTCTACTTAGCTTTAATTTTATTTCAGTTTTAGTTTTTAATTTTAGAAAAAAATATTCCAGTTAGTTGTCTAGGCAACACATTCTAATTAAAATTTCTTCTTTTTTTCAAGTGTTCCTTCTAATATTTATATTTTATTTTAGCAGTATTTCAGTTAAGGAAAATGATTAGTAGTTCAGTTGATGACACCGAATCACTGTCAAAAGTTGCCACATAATAAAGTCACTTCACAACAATGCAGCAATGTATGCGGAAACATTTAAATGTACATTAAATGTTGCATAATGCAATTTTTTTTTAATTTAAAGAGCATGTATATATACTGCATAATATTAAGCAAAGTTGCCTCCAGACTTCTACAAAGAGAGAGAGAATAGCAATAAAGAATAGTCCTGAGTAGCGACACTGTTTTAGCTGATCTCTCTGCCATACCCCTCTTTTCAGTTCCTGCATTACCATGCATTTTAATATCCCACAATTCACTGAAATATGAGAAAGCAGACACAAGTCAGAACCGCTTGTTTTCAGAGTGAAAAAGCCAGAAGGGAGGGAAGAACAGAGGGAGGGAAAAAAGGAAGGGAGAAAAGGAGGGAGATAAGTCCAGGGAAAAGGAGAGTGCGTAAAACCTGATTCAGAGAGAGGAAAGAGGTGACAGGAGGAGGGAGAGGAGGAGCAAGAAGACAAGAGACTAGAGGAGCGCTTGAAGGAGAGTGGAGAGCGAGAGAAGGATTGTGGGGTGGACATGGGTCTGTGTGCCGTGCTGTTGATTTGTCTCTCACAGGCAGAGCTGACCAGAGTGTGGGCTCAGGAGCAGAAAGGTAAGACATTATTAAACACACACAGAGATATAATGGCTTAACAACATAAGTGACATGCTCGGATTCATTGATATAAACATCATGACCCTCACAAACATACAGAGGAATTTGAGCAGCTCATTTTTTATGTGTAATTCCAAACAAACAATACAAACTATTTAATGATAAGCAAATATGTTTATACACAGATATTGATGGGCAAAGATTTCTGATTTATATAAATAATATGTATATAAATCAGAAATCTATTGTTTTTATTTGTACCTTCATGCATTCATATATGCATTTATCCACACATTTGCACAATTCTTGTTTCAGTATTAGCTAAATGGAGTAATTTGGTGATTAATCAGATCCCAGGTGACAGATGTGCTGAAGCAGGGTTGAAACTGAAGTCTGCAGGGAGGTAGCTTTTCAGGAGCAGGGTTGGAGACCCCTGCAGTAGAGCACGGCACTTGCAATACCAAGGTCATGTGCTCAATTCCCACGCATTAACTAAAAATAAAAGCTTTAATGCAACATAAGCTGCTTTTCAAAGAAGGTTCTGGAATGTGTTTCCCATTAGTTTGTCAAACAAAAAGTTCCGGCCAAGACTCACTGTTTTTGTCTTTCAACCTCACCTCTTTGTCTGCTGAACAACAATGTGTGTTTCTATGCATGTATGCCTTCTCACTTTTGGTTCTGGTGTTTCTAAAGAGCTTTATGAGTCAGAGAAAATGAATCCATGCATTGGGTGCTGAGGTTTGTGTTCTAAAGGCTGGCTCCGCTCATGGAGAATACAAACCAAGCATCCCCCTTCCCTTGAACTTTATGTTCAACAGACGTCAATCAGAGAACAGGGAAAGAGCAATACAATGTTTCTGGGTCATGCAACATGGGGGTTTAGCAACAAAACGCCCCCTGTTGGCCAGGGTTAGAAGTTTTCATATTTCATTCAAGCATTCACAGAAGTGTCAAAAGACCAAGGTCATGTAAACCATGTGCAAACATAAAGAACATAAAGAACAGTCCTACACATCAGCTTGGCCTTTTTAATACGTTACCCTTATATTCTTTCTCTCTCTTTTTTTTTCATGGCACACACGCTATGTGTGTGTGTGTGTGTGTGTGTATGTGTATTTCTGTCCTCCTTGGAGATACTGTATTTTTAGAGGGCCTGGTTCTTCTCTCTGGCAGGCAGCACTGCTCTACTTTCAGTGGCCTCTCTGTCCCTCCCACAAATCCCTTCTTTCTGGTCCCTCTGAGATGTGTATATGTGTGCATGATATACTGAGTGTGAGATACAACAAAATCTGTTACAGACAGTTAATGAACAAGTGAGGATAAGGGCTGTGTTTGAGCATGACCCTAAAAATGAAAAAAACAACAAAAAAAAACACTCTATTTATGTACAGAAATGTAATAATTAAGTGTAAAATAACACTGCATAGTTTTCACTGTATAAATTCAATTTAGATTAATATTTGTTAAAGCTGTGTTTTGTTGTTTGATTAACATTAGTGACCAGGGCGGTTTCTTCATTTGGGTGACACACCACCAAAGTGCGAAAGTTGAGGAATTTTTTTTCTATCACAGCTGTCACTGTTCTAGACTGCTTGTTCTGCCTCTGGATATATAGTCCAATCAGCATCAAGTCATGTTCTGTGGAGTACCTCCCCTTTTTGGGCGATTTCACTCTGGCCGAGAATCGCCCAGACTGTTCTCATAAGCTGTGTCCAAAAGTTAAGTGCGCACACTCCGAAGGCCACGCCTCCAAAGTGCACAAAGGACCTTCGTAGAATTTCCTAAATGCGGCACCAGGGGTTCCCGATTACCACTCTGTCGCATAGCAACTGTGCGAGAGGACAGCTGCCATCCTTACAGGACAGGTGAAGCCAGAATTGCTCATTTTTGTTTTTATGATTTACGTGATAATGGAGGAGACGGTGATGTACCTCAGGCTTAGCCAAGACCAAGGACAGGTAAGTTACACTGGTTTGCTGCGTCTTTAATTGCCGGATTACAACTTTAAATGCAGGTATTGGCTTGGGGCTTACTTGAATAATGTAATAATAATAATATGTATCAACATATAAAAAACTACAAAACACACACAGACATACCCACACACACAAACACACACACAACATGATGCATTGTTGGAGATTAAACTACCCAACAGTATATAAAGTAGGCAACTTTAAATTATGAGTATGCAAGATGCAAGATAATACTTGTAATTAGAGGATAGTTAACCCAAAAATGAAAATTCTGTAATCATTTACTCACCCTCAAGTTGTTCCAGGTTTGGAATTTTCATTTTTGGCTGAACTATCCCTTTAGCTAAGGTTATAAATATGACTAGTAGTTTTTCCCCAATGTGGTATTAGTAGTTACTAAAAGTAATTTACTAAAGTACCTCAATATTTCTTCTACTAATGACTTTGTCACCGCTCTAGCCAGTGCTGGACAGGTTTTTAATGGTTTTCGGCTGAGCAGGGAGGTCCTGACAGTACTGCTGGATCTTCGGAGAAGTGAACGGCAACAGTGATGGGGTGCCACAATCCAGACCCTGGTGTTTCTTTTCTGTCTGGCCAGTGGTACATCATACAGAGTGGTCTCCAGAGTGTTTGACATGTCTCATTCCCCTGTCCACTGCATTGTCCTCCGAGTCGCTGAGGAGGTGCTGGCCATTTACCACCAAGAGATTCACCTCCTGAAGACCCCAGAACACATGGAGGCAGGGCTGAGCTCAAAATTTATGTTGTTTTTCTGATGTTAAACCTAAGTTATGTTGTAAATAGTTGTAAAAGGTACTTTCAGTAATGTATAGAACAATTTGTTTTAATGTGTAAAAAAATGTTTTACAGGACAAAAAAATAAACGTACAGAAGAATATTTTGTAAGCTGCATAAAAAAATGAATGTACATAATTACTTCTCTTTTATTTACACATGTGAATATGCATATCAAAAAATACAAAATATACAGAAAGTACTCAAATTTATTTACAAATAAATTACATTACAAAGATGAATAACGTATACAACTTACCATTTCTTTTTTAACTTACATCACAAAAAGAAACTACAGAAATTAGGTTGTTTCATTGACAATGTGACATAAAAAAGATATAGAAAAATTTTATTGTACCCATTTTTTCCACTGTTTTCTCTTCTTGAGAGATGGGTTAATAATTTATTGTAATAATAATTTATTTATTATCTCTCCATTATCTCCTGTGCTCTTCTCTCCTCTGTCTCTCTCTGGAATTTGATGTCCTCCCTGAGCAGCTCCACCAGCTTCCACTCACTCCCTCACCTGTCCCAGGACACTTGCGATCGTAAGGCAGAGCAAATAAACCATGCCTGTTAACAACAACAGTACAATGAATTTCAGCAAAAAATGTGTTTATTATCTTGCTTACAAGCAGCAGGCCCATATTCTCCAGAATAGTCCTAAAACAAGAGAAAATGGAAACACTTATGAAAAATATTTAGACTGGTGAAATCTTTGAAAATATGTACAATATATTTAAAACATATGTAAAAATTGGTGCAACATTAGAAAATATTATGGATCCCTGCACATGGCACGCAGGAAAAAAATTGTAGGCTAAATTGTGTGCACGATTTACTATTTCGTTTCCTCGGTTTATAAATTGTGCGCACGATTTAATAATTTGTTCCCTTGATTTGCTAAATCGTGCACACGATTTATAAATCGAGAGAACAAATTTGTAAATTGTGCGCACAATTTAGCAAATCGGGGGAACGAAATAGTAATTGTGTGCACATTTTAGTATATCGAGGGAATGAATTAGTAAATCGTGCGCACAATTTATTTATTTTTTCTTGCATGTCATGTGCGGGGCTCCGTAAAATATGACACAGCAGGACATGCATACAAAATACTGAAGTGCTCAAGTTTGGTTAAAACATTTGTAGACATATCTTGCATGACAGCACTACAAAAACACAACAAAGGGAAAGCCTTAATATAGTGGTTGTCTTATTGTTTGTGGGCTTTGTGTAAAAAAAAAAAAAAAAAACCTGGCTTTTAACAATTTCGCTACGTATTTGAGTAAATCAAAACACAATACTTACATTTAAATGTGAATTCCCCCACAGAACTCTCACCCGCCATGTTCTTTGAATATAAATTCCATCGTCATCTGCGCGCAATTGATTCTGGGATATGGTAGGATGCGAAGTGTCCATCAGATGTACACTTAATTTTCCTGGGAAACAGAGCTCACATTTGAAGTAATTTTCGAATTACGGCAGCCTTCGTCACGCCGCGGTGACACAATCGGCCTTGGAATGCTTCAGGGCTGCGTTCCAGTTCACTTTTTTTTATGCCCTTCACTCGCTAACTTCCCTTCGTCTCGTTTACTCGGATGTACGTCATTGATTACGCTGCATGAGTGCCCACTACTGGCGGATCCCTTGGAATGGGCTGAATTGGAATGTCCTAAGCCCTTGATCACTTAGAATCCGCTATGGAGTTGGTTTATTGTTTACTTTTCCCCTTACGAATTTGTTTGGTGCAGCATTATATATATATATAGATATGCTTGGGCAGTTATAAATGTAAAAAATAAATAATTTATATATTATAGAGTTGTTTGGGGTGGGGATAAATTAAATGCTATCTGCGATGACGTCAGAGCGGCCTGAAGTGTGCATATAAAGCAGACTCGCTCCCTCTGGCAAAATTGAGGGGTCGAGGGTATGTCCATGTAAACTTCCCTTGTCCACTTGACGAAGTGGAACGCACTTCAAAATGGCGGCGGGGATTCCCCCGAGGGTAAGTGCTTAGGGAAATTTGCAAGTGCGTGTCTAAAAGTGAGCTGGAATGCAGCCCGGAGGGTGCATCCTGAATTGGCACAGCTTACGTCGTGACGCTGAAGTGCTGAATCGCACTTCAAAATAAAGTCTTCGGAGTGCGCGCACTTCACATTGGGACAGCCTTCATAGTGCTGGTGTGATGCAATCACACTTGAAATACGCACTTCGGAG